GCAATGTTTGTGTTGCAGGATGGGTCGGCAGGGAATGTGTGTAGCAGTGTCTGTGTTGCAGGATGGGTCGGCAGGGAATGTGTGTAGCAATGTTAGTGTTGCAGGATGGGTCGGCAGGGAATGTGTGTAGCAGTGTCTGTGTTGCAGGATGGGTCGGCAGGGAATGTGTGTAGCAATGTTAGTGTTGCAGGATGGGTCGGCAGGGAATGTGTGTGTAGCAATGTTAGTGTTGCAGGATGGGTCGGCAGGGAATGTGTGTAGCAATGTTAGTGTTGCAGGATGGGTCGGCAGGGAATGTGTGTAGCAATGTTAGTGTTGCAGGATGGGTCGGCAGGGAATGTGTGTAGCAATGTTAGTGTTGCAGGATGGGTCGGCAGGGAATGTGTGTAGCAATGTTAGTGTTGCAGGATGGGTCGGCAGGGAATGTGTGTAGCAATGTTAGTGTTGCAGGATGGGTCGGCAGGGAATGTGTTGTAGCAATGTTAGTGTTGCAGGATGGGTCGGCAGGGAATGTGTGTAGCAATGTTAGTGTTGCAGGATGGGTCGGCAGGGAATGTGTGTAGCAGTGTTTGTGTTGCAGGATGGGTCGGCAGGGAATGTGTGTAGCAGTGTTTGTGTTGCAGGATGGGTCGGCAGGGAATGTGTGTAGCAGTGTTTGTGTTGCAGGATGGGTCGGCAGGGAATGTGTGTAGCAATGTTAGTGTTGCAGGATGGGTCGGCAGGGAATGTGTGTAGCAATGTTAGTGTTGCAGGAGGGTCGGCAGGGAATGTGTGTAGCATGTTAGTGTTGCAGGATGGGTCGGCAGGGAATGTGTGTAGCAATGTTAGTGTTGCAGGATGGGTCGGCAGGGAATGTGTGTAGCAATGTTAGTGTTGCAGGATGGGTCGGCAGGGAATGTGTGTAGCAATGTTAGTGTTGCAGGATGGGTCGGCAGGGAATGTGTGTAGCAATGTTAGTGTTGCAGGATGGGTCGGCAGGGAATGTGTTGTAGCAAGTTAGTGTTGCAGGATGGGTCGGCAGGGAATGTGTGTAGCAGTGTTTGTGTTGCAGGATGGGTCGGCAGGGATGTGTGTAGCAGTGTTTGTGTTGCAGGATGGGTCGGCAGGGAATGTGTGTAGCAGTGTTTGTGTTGCAGGATGGGTCGGCAGGGAATGTGTGTAGCAGTGTTTGTGTTGCAGGATGGGTCGGCAGGGAATGTGTGTAGCAATGTTAGTGTTGCAGGATGGGTCGGCAGGGAATGTGTGTAGCAGTGTCTGTGTTGCAGGATGGGTCGGCAGGGAATGTGTGTAGCAATGTTAGTGTTGCAGGATGGGTCGGCAGGGAATGTGTGTAGCAATGTTTGTGTTGCAGGATGGGTCGGCAGGGAATGTACGGCAACGTACACGGGTTGCCAGGGCTGCCCAAGTCCCAGGTGCCGCTGCAGACGTACCCGAGGCCCCCCAGGCTCCCTGTCAGGATGCCGGCGCCGGCGCCAGCACCACCACCACAACCTCCAGGTCGCCACCACCACTACACCCATCACCATCAACCAGG